AAAGTCGACCGCACTCATGATGACGAGCAAGCGTTCTCATAAACCTCACATAGTTGTGTAACTACAAATCGACTCGACAAGACTACAAATCGACTTGTAAGGATCTACAGCAACTCGATGAGCAGATGCGACACATGGAAGGCTCCTAGGCACAAGCTTATAACAGGATAAGAAGGAATCTAGATGCTGACTCAGGAGTAAGCAGAATGTGGACCGACCAGGGCATTTTGGGTACTTCACGTAAGTCGGTCGGGGCATTTTGGGACTTCAAAGTAAATGTTTTTACCCCTATATAAAGGGGCTGAGGTAAACCTAAACCCTATCTATTATTCTCATTCAGTACTCAGCTGCTGCTCCCCCTGAGCAGGGCTCTCTCTCTCCCTTCACTTACTGACTTGAGCGTCGGAGGCTCTTCACCGGAAAGCATTTCCGGTGTTGAGTTCTTGCAGGTGTTCGCTGTGGTCTACGAGCGACTTGGAGGCGATTCGAGCAGACCGGAGCTCATTCTCACCGGTTCACTCCGGATCTAGGAGGAGACCCATCAAATGTACAATAATTTGATCACTTAATCTATATATATATATAAAAAGAATTACCTTTTTTCAAAAATAGTATGTCAAACTATAGTCAAAATTTATTTGCATTAATTATATACTATTTTAGTAACTTTTATTTGTTTTCTTTTTTTTTTTTTGACAAAAATCTAGCATTATCAAATAGAGCCCTTAAATCATGGTAGTTGTTACTTTAGTTTGGAGAAAATCATGGCAAATAAAACAAACAACATTAATTACGGTTGATTTAATACTTCAATTGTAAAACAAATCACTTTTGGTTATGGTTGATTTCAATCTACCTCTAATTTAAAATTAAAAGAATAGTTTTGTAATTTAAAAATTCTGTACACTTTAACGACTGATTCAAAATTAAAAATTTACTTTTGTATTTTCACAAAAAATTGCATAAAGAAGTATGGTTGAAATAATAATTAAAATTTAAATTTGTGAAGAACGTATATAGATGTGGACTGATTGAAGATATATGATTCCTTAAGTTAAGGAATTTTTTCCGGTAAAAAACAAAAAATAAAATCTTTAAATACAAATTTTATTAGTAGTGTATACCAAAGAATATTGTTACATTTAAAATTCATACGAGAAAGAATTCTATTAATTTTCAAATTCAAGATCTCATAAAAATAAAATAATACACTTTTACATACTGTGAAACAATACTTAAAACCCTCCGTGCAACAACAGACATAAAATGTAAAATTACCTAACGTGAATCATTTTAACTTTCTAAAATATGTACACAATTTGCTCGATGTGTACTAATATTAAGATACAAATTCGAAATAAAACACAGATTCTCAAAATCAAATCTGATTCGGAGATCAATTTCTTTATGGCCTTAAATTATGCAAATATATTGTTTGAGTGTTTGAGATTCTTTTTTTATGATTTTAGCCTTTACATTAAATGAAATAAACATTAAAAATTGTCGTACAACAACATACATATATACATACAAAATATTTAAAATTATCTAACATGAAAAATTTTAACATCATAAAATCTCTACACAATTTGCTCGGTATGTAATAAATTTTAGAGTTAAAATTTTATATGACATATCTATATATATAATAAGGATTAACATAAATCAAATTTAAAAACAATTTCCAGCCATTTTCATTAATTATAAGAAGTATCACACACATGACTCATTAATTGCGTGAGCGAATTTGCCGTGAAAAAGGGAAATGTTTTTGTAATTTATTTTGTAAAATCCAGTTTTAGTTAGATTGCCGTGAAAAAAGGAAATGGATTGTAATTTATTTTTCCAAATTCAATGTTTGAGTTAATCCTTCCCTTATGCAACACGTTTCTGCAGATGGATAGCACAAGGATGATTTAGATATACACAAATTCATTATCATGGAAACATTTTGTTTTTATTAATTTTTCTACACGTGACATTATTATTATTTTTTTTGGTTAAAATTTTTACACTAATCATGGTAACAATATTTTAAATGGTAATGCTATAACAAAAAAAAAAAAAAAATTACAAAATTTAATCTATATTGAAAAATTTATTTACAAGTTTTATATAAATAGGAATAAATCGCATATTTCAAACGTAAAAATATTATTTTTTTAATATATACTTAGCAATATATACAACTTAAATAATAATGTAAAATTCAACGTAAAAATATTATTTTTTTAACATATAGTTATGCAATATATACAACTTAAATAATAATTTAAAAGAAACAAATATATTGTGAAGATTTCATTTCAAAGTAATACAAAAAAAAGGTAATGAAATTGGTCACAAAAGTTTATGGGGACGGACTGTGGTATTGTAGCACAAGGATGATTTAGATATACACAAATTCATTATCATAAAAAATTGTTATTTTCTTTTTTATTTTTTTAAATGTGATATTTTTTTGTTAAATTTTTTACACTAACCATGGTAACAATATTCTAAATGGGAATGCTATAATAAAAAAGAAAAATACAAAATTTAATATTTAATGAAGAATTAATTTAAAATTTTGTATATACATATAAATAAATCGCATATTTTAACGCAAATTTATCATACGGTTATGTCGTATATACAACTTAAATAATAATTTAAAAGAAACAAATATATTGTAAAGATTTCATTTCAAAGTAGTACAAAGAGAGTAATCAAATTGGACACAAATTGAACACATATTATTCACATGTAATGTTTTGTATATTTTAAACATGTTATATATATATATATATATTATATAATATGATATATATATATATATATATTTGTGTGTGTGTTAAACTTTTTTAGACATGTTTTACTTACAAAATAATTTAGAAAAATTATAGGTGACCTCATATATTTTTTAAGAACAATATAGAATATTTTAGATAATCTTACATATGTTATATAACAGTTTAAGTGTTTTTAATATTTTAAACATACATGTTTAATGTTATTTTAAGCAAGATAAAAAAAAAGTATACAAATATTCGTGAATATAATTTAGCTAATCAAGTATAACTGTTATTAAAATGATAAACTAACAACTTATTTTTTGAACTGCAAATAAATTATTATATTATAAAAAGATCCATATGATCCATATTAGGGTTCCATTTAAACTCCAGCTGCACCAGTTCTTTCTGATCATAAGGTTCCATTAAGAGTCAGAGTCAGTCTTTATCTTGTGCTGGCATGTTCTTAAGAAAAATCGGTTTTTAATCACGACCAATTATATGTTGTTGTTTTACGTGTAAATAATAAATAAAGAAGAGTCAGAGCCATCTTTACCATGTGTTGGCATGTTCTTGAATAAATTATGTTTAGTCACGACCAATTATATATTGTTTCGTTTGAAAGTAATATAAAAGAGTTAAAAATATTTGTTTGTGGGTACGGCGCGGTACCCAGTTATCAAACATGAGGTTTCTAATAATATATTATTTTTTCATGTGCAACATTTTACTATTTAACAATTTCTTTACGAATTATTACTATTTTAACTATTAATACACTTTAATTTGTAATATTTCCCAAAATAATTACATCCCGTGCATCGCACGGGATACATACTAGTTTAGCTAAACAACATAATGACCTAATGTATCAGTTATACATATTTAATTCCAAAATAGATCTAACACGTAAGCCCCTACTTTTTTTTTTTGCCTTGAGAAAATATCTTAACATACGACTCATTTGCTGCCAAAATAGATCAAAAATCAAGGTCTATTTGTCAAATATATGTCATAATTTTGCTTGGCATTTGGCATGCTGGTGACTAAACTCATTTGTAACTATATGTTAAAAATCCACAAGAATCATCACAAATCTCATATATTATACTATTCTATACGTAGTCTCCGATCTAAATTATCATTTTCTTTGATGATAAAAAGAAAGAGTTATGCTAAAAATTGATACAATGCTGGTGTTTGACCGGCCTAACAAGTAGTAAGACTTTTTAATAAATATGCATTCTTTGAAATGATATACTTGAAAAAAAAATATAATATCTTTAGAATATAAGTATTTTTTTTTAAATATGATGAATAGACGGCTTCACACAAGAATTTATATATAAAAATAATTCACACAGTATAAACAATTCACGCAGTATATACACATGTGACAAAAGTTTATTATTATTTTCATTATAAAATTATTAAAATCAATTAAAATATTTTTTATTCTTAATTATTATTATTATTATAATAGTCTTAAAAATATATTTGGCAATCCATAAAATAAAACATGCATAGGGGTTAGGGGGTAAGTGGGAGTGATCCTCTTTAATTAAAAAATAAATAAAACATGTATAGTTTAACTCTAAAACTCCACCCAAGAGCGCTTGTATGAAATGGTTTGAGTCTCTTCCAGTTTAACTAGTGGTCTCGTGTTTGAGCTCTGGGAATGCAGCAGTGTTAAAACTCTTGAGGGAGAGCTTTGCCGCCCTTGTGGTCCTACCCGGCTTGATTACAAATTAGTCGGTTCCCCTGTGAATCTGGAAACCAGAAAGTCTTTGTACCCAAAAAAAAACACTAAAAACTCCACACTTTGAAAGAGAAATGTAAAAAGTAAATAAAAGTTGGAAACGTGAAAAAAGAATCATAATTAAATGGTGAAAACGTGAAAAAAAGAATCATCATTATTGTGTTAGTTAATTTTATTTACCATTTTCCCCCATTCCATTTACCAACCCTTCCCTAAATTTCATTTGCCTTCTCTGATGAACATTCTTGCTTCCGGTGCCTGGTTGTAATTCATCTTCTGATTTTTGATTTCATCAGTCTCAGGCATTCTTCTGTTTTGGTATTGGTTCATTGGTTTTCACTTTCACTGCTGCTTGCTGTTCACCAGTAATGGTGGTTGTCGTCTTCTTTGATTTCAGTCCACTACCCTGATTTCACTTTGGATTCAGCTCAATTTCAAGCAAAAAACTTTGCTAATATAAAGCCCCAATGGCCTCGATCCGGCTCGAGGCGTCCAAGCAATACTACGCCACCAGCAGCCTCGTCATAGGCTACGCTCTTTGTTCCAGCCTACTCGCCGTTATCAACAAATTCGCCATCACCAACTTCAATTACCCTGGTCTACTCACCGCGCTTCAATACCTAACCTCGGCCTTGGGCGTCTGGATCCTTGGACAATTCGGGTTCTTGCACCACGATCCCTTCACTGTGGAGACAGCCAAGAAGTTCCTGCCGGCAGCATTTGTCTTTTACCTGGCCATCTTCACAAACACAAACCTCCTCCGCCATGCCAATGTGGACACTTTCATAGTCTTCCGATCCTTGACCCCACTTCTCGTGGCAGTTGCCGACACCTTCTTCCGGAAGCAGCCGTGGCCTTCGAAACTGACGTTTTTCTCGTTGCTGGTCATTTTAGGGGGTGCGATCGGGTACGTGGCCACAGATAATGGGTTCACGCTGACCGCGTACTCGTGGGCCTTTGCGTATCTTGTGACTATAACCACCGAGATGGTTTACATAAAGCACATGGTGACCAATCTGGGCCTCAACACCTGGGGATTTGTGTTCTACAATAATCTCTTGTCGTTGATGATGGCACCCCTGTTCTGGATCCTGACCGGGGAGTATGCAGACGTGTTTGCAGCGCTGGCTTCAACGAGCCTGAGTGATCTGTTTGGGCCCGTCGCATTTTTCGCAGTGTCCTTGTCCTGTGTGTTTGGACTGCTCATCAGCTTCTTTGGTTTTGCCGCCCGGAAGGCCATCTCAGCAACTGCATTCACTGTTACGGGTGTGGTGAACAAGTTTTTGACTGTTGCCATTAATGTGCTGATTTGGGATAAGCATGCGACTCCCTTTGGTCTGGTATGTTTGCTACTGACTATTGCTGGAGGGGTTCTCTATCAGCAGTCGGTCACTGGAGCAGTCGGCAATGCTTCGAACCCGGCGGCATTGTCCAAGCAGATGGATAGCAAGAATGATAATGGGGCAGAAAGGGACGAGGAGAAGGGAATTTCTGGTAAAATTTCTGGTGTGTGAGCATTTCGTTCTAGAATAGGATGAACATGCTCACATTAATATGGTTCGCTTGGCTTGTGGCTCGAATATTTTCTCTACCATTTGTCCCTGAAAATTTATGTATTAACTCTTTATTCCTGGTCATTAGGTTTACTATGGGAACTTGTCATGCTCTTTAACTTGTAACAGACAAATATTTTCCATATAAATTCATGCTGAGAAATATATATCTCAAGGGTGTATCTTTACCTGTTTGTCTTCTGTAGTTTGTTGGCAGTACTGAATTTGGTTCGGTGCCTTTTCTTCGTAGGTTTCAATTTTTGTAATATTTCCATGTTTGCATATGCTGAATATGCTCATTATTTGAAATATAGTGCGTTAAGCCTGTGGCAGGAATGTTACTTTGATGTTGTCCCCAGGTTATATGGTTGACGCTTTATTTTTTTCAGTATGGGGACTGACTGCACTTTTACTTGTAATGGCAAGCATTTTTCCATATGAATCATGCTGAAGATGGGTGAAAACTATATATTTCATGATACTATCTTTAGTTGTCTGGTTCAAAAGTTCCGTAATTCGTTGAACTATATAATGGGTACCACTTCCTAAGGCACCTTGGCCGGTGATGACCTATGTTTCTCCTTTTTATGTTCATTGTAAGTTTTGAAAATTGGGTTTAGATATATAGAGAGTGCCTGACTTCACATTGGTAAAAAGTTTATCACCGAACAGTTGATGTGTTTCTAAGTTTAATGGTGTTCTGCGTATAACTGTCATCTTCTCTTGCTTTTAGGTGCTTCATTGTTGAACCCTAGAATGGAAGATCACTCGGGTCAGTTCTTATTATACGTAAAATAAAAGAGCTTATTTGCAAATAAGCCCTTATTTGGTGAATATGGCGATGTGCACTTTCTAGTGGGCACTTTTACAAAATAAATACTACTGTAAGTTTTTCAACCTAGATTGTACTTGGTGCATCACAAAACAAAATGAACGGCACACTACTAATGCAAGCGGTTTCTCAGGACTTCCTCCATTTGTTTCTTAGCCTGGTCTTTAGCAATTAGAATGACTGAAGACATGGAAGATTGAATTTGATATCGTTGTTTCCATTTAATACCACTGTTTCTCATAGTATAATGACTTCCCTAGAAAACTTGAGGGTAATCGTTACTGGTGGAGTGTGACAAGGGAATTCTTCAGTTAATTAATTTGTAGTTTGGAATTCAGAATCTTTTATATCTACGAGAATGATAACTATTTTAACTTATCGTCTAGCATGTATCAATGGCTAATTTGATATGTTCTGTTTCCCAAACTAAAATAACAAAATGAAAAATCAGATAATGTTATCTGTACACACCAACATATTTGTGTGAGCTGACAATGGACTTTCTGCAGAGATATATGTTTCAAGTGTTCCATCATTATGTGAGTGAATTAGCTTCTGTGCTGCTTGCAAGGTTTCGATGGATATAAATAGATTTCGTAATCTACACATACATCCATTGGTAATGTTAGTTCTTTATTCTTTTGTTCCTTAATAATACTATTAAAATGGTTTGAGATAACAAAGTCTTATTGTTATCCCCTTCTATTGATTATTTAGTCTCAGTCATTACCCTTCATTACTCTTCTATACTGGGTCAATCTATTGATGGGATTTGGTCAAAGACTTCATAAAAAGCCGCTATCATATAAATATTAATTTCATACATCTGCATAGTGTGTAATGAGAAATTGCTGCTAGTAAGTTGCACAAGTTGATGTAGTGTGCATCTTATATGTTGTTATATAAGATGATTTTCGAACCATTTAGAGTCTTAAAGCTCATCACAATCCAACATTGTAATGCTCGGTTGTTTCCTCTGGTTCCTTAGTGCCAGCTTGGAGCCAAGCATGAAAAGGTAGTTTACAGTATAATTGTACCTATCCGCATTTTTACACCATGAAATAAAAGAGGGCCACTTTTCTTATGTAAGGCAGGTTTACTGCTTAATTTTGAGCAGTCTGACTTCTGAGGAGGCATTCTTTTTCTTATGTTAACCAGTTTACCTCTTCCAGCCGAGATGTAGAAGTAGCTAGGACAACTTATGCTTGAAAAACTCAAATCCATTACGACCAAAATGTGATGCTTCTGGGTTTATAAGTTGCTGGATTACATTTATTTTGATCCACATTACACTTCGATTCTGGACTTACTTATATCTTTTCTGTCTGAACTCAGAACTTTTCTTTTGGAATCTAAGTTCTTGTGGGTTCTGCATTTGCATCACTGTATATATGCTGATACAATTGAATTAGATTGGGTTTCTAAGTGTTTTTTGTCAATAGTGAATCATACTCTGTGTTTCTCTAATTAAATTAATTCAAGCAGAAACATAAAGTCCCATTTCCAGATGAGCTATATGAATGTGAAAAACGGGGGGTTGATGGTGCGGTCACACGGACGTGAAGCGCACCAAAACAAGGTGAGCCTAGATGGCCTTAATAAATTTCCATCCTAAAATCAATTGGTGGTAGGAGGAGTAGCCACTAGACTTATAAGTTAGGCCTATTTTCCCTGTGGAACAACTCACAAGTGTATATTCTAACATAATGGATTAGCACGCCAACATTAATTCATTCACCTTTCTCAATTAAACTAGTTAATAGTACAACACTCTCTTGAAAAAGCACAAGAATCTCACCATATGATTACAACAACTGTAGGCAGTTTAAAATTCCCCTCTCCAAAAGTGTTGAAATGAGAAAAAAAAAAAGCAATACATCAAGTGATCAAAATCCCACTTCATTCATTAACATATCATCAATACTTACACTTCCACATCACCTATTTCCTTGACCAAAAAAAAAGGGAAAAAAGGAAAATCCAAACCAATGGGCTCCTCTACCAAATACTTTTTTCCCTAAAAAAACCAACTGATTTTCAAACTTAACCAACTTCCCTAAAGCTGCTAAAAAGCTACTAATAAAAATCAAAACCTTCCAAGTTCCTAACACAGAAATATCTAATACTTTGTTTCCTTTCTTTTTCTTCACCATGATCAAAGTATTAGTAATTCAGGCAAAGACAGCACCACAAGACAGGGCCATGAGTAGCAGGGCAGCTCTCTCAACCTCACCCCATTGCCTCCTCGAACACTTGAGCCTCCTCAGATTCACTCCCAAGCCACTTCTCAGCTTGGATTTCTTTTTCTTCTTTCCAATTTTGCCCTTCTTCGAGTCGGGCTCGCCTGGGTTCCGCTCGGGGGAGTTGGGCAGCTTCTTTCTGTGTCTAATTCCGCAAGCATTACACAGCGACTGGAAAATGATCGAAAAGAATCAAGAAATCAGTGGGAATTTCAGGACAATAACAATCTATTTTAAGGATGAGTTTACTCTTTAAAAAAAATAAATAAAATGATCGAAAAAAAGTGAAAAACCTTAGGGCCTGAAGGGCCACTCCTCCACAAGGGCGTTCTCGTGGTTTTGCAAACGGAGCAGCACTTTTTCTCATCAGACGAACCATCTTCCTACACATGACAACAAAAAATACTTAGCAAAACTCGAAAAGGGAAAACAGAAACAGAGCCCACCAAGGAAAAAAAAATGAAAAAATAGACACCGATCAACAGCGCCATGCAAGAAATCGAACTTCTAATCTCACCTTTAGGCTAGAATCCATCTCCTTCACCATCTAACTTCGCTCTCCCAAAAAGGGTTTCGTGTTCACTGCGTCGGGATACAGACCAAGTAACTAGAGAAAAGAGAAGAACGAATGCTGCAGATTACAGGGCTACTCAGCCATTTTTTGCCGACGGAACGAGCAAGGAGTTGAGCAGCTCTGGAGAGGATCCCAGAAAGGATGGCGGAATTTGAAGGGGTGTGATCAGGGACGAACCGACGTACATGTGAAGCTGGCCACTGATCGAGAAAAAGGGCAAAAATGATTGAACGATTGAACCCTAATTGGGAGTCGTGAAATGACGGAAAAGGCCCTGGATTGGGGGTTTTAGATGACGTCATGCCCGCCAAAAGGGTTAAAAAAAATTATGAGAATGGGCGGCAGCACCGTCCACGTGTCGTCTTGCATGCGCTGCTTGGCTTTGTCTTCATCTGCTGGGGGAAACAAGAATCCAATAAATTATTGGCAAACAATTCAAATCATGTTTGTTGTTAAATTTTATGCTTTAAGTAGAACTACAGTCTCATTACGGAACTATTTTGTCGAGATTTGTAACTGTTAGATCATTATGTAATCGTCATAGATAATTGATTTAACAGTTACAAATCTTGACGGAATGATTCCGTAATAGAACATTAGAATCTCCTAAAAAATACATTATTTAATTACATAAAATATCATGTTTTTCTATGTTTTTTGTTGGCATTTCTTTGTGTTTATAAGTTTGAGTCCATTTGACCTCGTTTTATAGATTTTTCCAGTCTTTGGAATATTTTTTTTTCATCTTTGTGCTTTTATGTTACTTTATGCATTTCTTCTCCTATTTTTTATATTTTATATAAAAATGCTATTAGGTATAATTTCATCGGACGACCTTTCAAAATTAAGTGTTCCAACTTTCACAAAACTGTACGAACGACTTAGTCAATCATAAAAAAAATGCTATTAGGTATAATTTCATCGGACGACCTTTCGAAATCAAGTGTTCCAACTTCCACAAAACTGCACGAACGACTTAGTCGATAATGTTCGACTAAGTATGAATATTTGTGGTATCTTCTAAGGGTCAAGATAAAATGTTGATGGAATTATCTTGATTAAATGTAGGTGTTTGATGAGCCAAGTTCTTGACCTACCCTCGTTGTTTGAGCATTTCTTTGCTAAATTGACCAGGCGGATTATTCTAAATTTCTATGCCATAAATTGTCTATATTTTGCTGGACGGTATGATCAATGTATGTGTATGAATCATGTAGCCTGTCGATGTGTGTCGTTTCGGCCGTCGACACGTGATATGGCATATTATATACATTAGACCAGTCCGCCGAGTCAACAACGCGAGTCGGGTTGATCAGTCTGGTCGAGCAGAATATCCGACAGATGATAGAGGTCAGAAGGCTGAGCTGCGCGAGCAGAGGAACACCTGGCAAGTACCCGCCTTATGGACCCCTGGTCGAAGCAGCAGGAGATCGAATATGAATGGTTGTAAGATCGACCATCTTGTATTACAGGGACATCTCAACAACCTGCCCAGATATGGTCGAACATCAGAGCCTCTAAAGGAATCCCCAACACGTGAACAGAGGACGCATGACGAATGCTAATTGGTCTATAGTAATAACGGTTTTTGATACCTTCTAACGCACTCTGACACATTCCTGACACCAAGGTAGTGGAGGAAGTGAACCGTACGACCGGGCAGTTGGGGCAGCCAGCTCAACTCGCCCGGGCAGTTCCTAGGGCAGGTAATTCACCCCAATAAATAGAGGTGAAATCTCTCAATTTTACACATAATCTTCCATAAACTTCACATATTTTCACATATTCTTCATCTTCTCAAGACTGACTTGAGCGTTGGAGGCTCTTCACGGGAAAATCCCTCCGGTGTGAGAGTTTCGTGCAGGTTTCGGCGTTCTACCGGTGAGGAAGGCAAGCTCGAAGTGGTTCTCAGCCGGTTGGGCATTACACTTGTATTATTGGTGCCGTCTATGGGAACTTTTGTTCAAAAAGCTGTGTTGGAAGCATAACCATGGCAGACGGAATTCCTCGATTAAATTTGCAGTCGTCGTTCGATGAGGCGTGGACAACGACCAGACCGTCAGGAACAGGCCCTCCACCTGGCTTTTCCAGACCCTTGCAAAGGTGGGGAAAGGCACGAGCAAAGAGCAGGAGGCTCGTGGAGTAGCACCAACGGTGATCCTTGCACCGCTGTAAGCAGATCTAGTCAGGGCGCAACATGAAGGACCAGCGATGCAGGTGGTGGCGCCACCAGTTGGAGGACAACCAGGCGGAGCGGTGGCACCCCCGGCTCAACAAATGGTGACGATGAGTAGGGAGGAGATGCAAAGGATGATGGCCAACGTGGCAGCGCAGGCGGTGCAGCAGGTTACCAAATAAACATATCAGGCTGCAACTGCACCAACCACGGTGGTCGGAACCCAGGAGGAGGACGTATCGAGCTATTGGTGGAGGAGGAGATCTCAGGCACAGGGCAATGGAAATGATGGCTGAGCAACTCCGCCAGTTGCAGGAGAAGGTAGAGGGGAGGCAGGACAGAAGTGCTCGAGGACATCCATTCTCGAGGGAGATCTTGGGCGCACCGCTGCCAACATGTTTCAACTGTAGCCCCCCGTTCGATTTATAGAATTTCGCGGATAATTCTATTTATCGAATGTTATTCATGACATTATATTTGTATTTTTGGTTGCGATATCTACTTAAACTAATTGTTTAAGTACTTATTGTTTTATTTTTAAAACGTTCGTCGATCGACGATTTCGGGATAATCGCGTAAATCGGATCTAACCCGCTCGCTTATTGGATTTTTTGGATATTTTTGGCATTATTATTAATATTATTATTATTATTATTATTATTATTATTATTATTATTATTATTATTATTATTATTATTATTATTGTTGATATTAAATGTCTAATTTTTATTAATTGTTTAAATGATTATTAATATTAAATAAATATTATGTGTTTATATATATACAATCCGGTTCTATTTTTAATTATCGTGCGATTAAACCGAACCGCTAATATCGTTAAGCCTTGAACCGAGATCCCGAGCCGTGTGTCGAACCCGGTCCGCGCGTCCCGCCCGAGAGAACACACACTGGTTTGACCCGTTCTGCCCCTCTCTCTTTTTGTTTTGCTTGTTGACCAAGTTTTGGTGAGTTGGGTAACCCTAGTAGTATTTATATGAGATGTAACCTCTCTCTCTCTCTCTCTCTCTCTCTCTCTCTCTCTCTCTCTCTCTCTCTCTCTTCGCGTACGATACCCCGCGTCATCCCGCTCTCATTCACAATAGCTCGCTCTCTTTTGTTCGTTACAGCAGAGAAGAGAAAGCCTCTCTCTCTCTCTCTCGCTCGTGATATATCACCCATCTCTCTCTCTCTCTATACCCTCCCCTCACTCTCATAATCCGGCCATCATCATTATCATCATCCCGCCGCGAGCAGCAACCAATTGAACGTCTCCATGACCACCGGCGAGTTTCCTTTTTTTTCCCGATCGTGAACCGCCGAGCCAACATTGCCACCCCTTAGATCGCTCTTCATCACCCGCGAGGCCATTCACGGTGATTACCAGCACTGAGCCTCGCCGTAACACGCTGAACCTCAGGCCCCATCCGCCATACACGTCGACCAACGACTCCACGCACATGTAATAGCCCTTCTCGACCCTCGCTCGATCATTTCACGCGACTTTCCTCGAGAACGGTACCAAGGCTGATGAACTCCTTATCTTTTGATGTGTGTATGTGTTAAATGTTGATGCCTTGATGCTAATTGCATATCAGGGTTCATAGATTAATGGCTTCATGTGGTGATCTTGTGGTTCGTATGAGTTGAGCAAAATCAAACTCGATGAATATGATGCTTTCCCTTGATATATGTGATAAGTGTTGCTCGTATGATATAATGATGTGGCTTATGATATTGGGATTTAATGTTGAAGTTTTGACAATTTGCGTGATTATCGCGTTTCTGCTGTTCTGTTGTACCTCTGTTTAGGCCCTCAGAAACCCATTATTTAAAGTTGGGTACTTCATGTGAAATGTATTTCGTTCTGCTAGCTTTCTCTGGGATTTGGTATTTCTTAAATCCGATTTAAAACGAGTGAGATATGATTTTTACAAAAATATTGTGCGAACTGTTTTCGGTAAAAACCAGACAGCATGTTGCATTAAATGTATGACCTAATTATTGGTTCTTAATGTGCTCATATGAGTTTGTGATCTTAATGAAAGTTATAGGCATATTTTTTTAGCTTTCTGATGAGGTAAGGTTCATGTTGATATGATGTATGTAGCTCAAGTTATGTTAAATTTATTGAGGATATGCATGAGATGAGTTTTGTACATTTGGCAGGAACTTATTCTTAAATGTTAATTGCTTTTACACCTTCTTAATGACCTTAACTGCTTCTGTGTTTTAAATAAAAGTTGTAGGGCTGCTTCTTAATTTTCTAAGAATGCATGAATCATGTAAATATGATATGTGTAGTATTAATTATGTTTGTTTTATTGAAGCTGTGCACAAGCATGTTTAGGTTTCTCAGACTGCATCTAGGTTTGTAATGTTAGTCAGTTATGATCTGCTAAATGCCATTATTTGCTTCTGAAAATTGTAGCTTATTCCTTGGCTAACTGTTGGTTCTTGAATCATATCATTGGAAAGTCTGTAGCATGATTTAGATGATAAATACTGAGGTGTTGTTTACATCCTAAGTTAGTCTTTGGCAGATTTTATGAATCAAATGTTTTGTGTTTAAACTCGTTGATAATGTCATTATTTGCCAACGTGATCTTCATCGAAGTTGTAGGTATTTGTGTTATCTGCCATGTGGTTTTTGAATCTTATTATAAGCATGTCGTAGCTCCAGTTATCTTGAAATTACTGAAGTCCGGTAAGTTGCATGTTCTCAATTTTGACTGCTTCTCTGTTATGAATGTTTATTGAATTATATCCTGGTAAATGACCTTATTTGCTTTCGGTGTCT